AGGCACGATGAACGATGAAGCAAGCTTTGGTATAAGCTTTGGTATATATATACAATAACACAACAACATAAAATGTATTTCCATCCAATCACAATGCGGGTGTCTACAAGGCTACTATCTTCGGCTGCATTACCACTTACCAGATGGCACAGTAGTCGGGAGCTGGCTAAGAATAGTAAAAAAATAATGGCTGCAATATGATTTTATGCTAAAATGTACGTCGTCAAAAGAAAGAAATATTTTTTTCTCAGCTTCAAAACAAGAAAGCTGGCTTTATAAGAAGAGTCATGGTTACTATCCTTATTTGTATCCTTCCCTATTCGTTTTGGGTATGGTTGATTTAGAAACCCTAATAATTAGGAGGGTGATGTCAACTATTAAGTATTATCTTTTTATAATTCACCACAAGTTGAACTGCCAGTCGGTTTGGAGATAATCGGTTTGTTGGTGCCCAGGTACATGCAGAGAGATAATGAAGGAACGGTGGCTCCGCGCCGTAGGTCGCGTCTCCTAGACAGACCAGTTACACGTACCAAAAGTGCTGCCTATGCAGCAACAAATCGACATACTCACTCAACACGATGAAATTAACGTATTTGCAAACAGTATGACACGTCTGCTTTTTCTTGACTCTATTTTATAAAATTATCGATAAGACAATTAATAATTCTATTGACTATGTACTGTTATATATTACTATATAAATTTAATTATGGGCATATATTGTAATTGGCTTTTATTGACATTGCATTATAAATTGATGTGATAAAATATTTCATAGCCTGACATTGTATGATTGCGACCTTTTTCTTTTTTAAACATTGTACATTTATTAATATTTTATTGTTTATTAATATTTTAATTTCTCAACACGTGCTGCTAAAGGTTTAGAGATTTTATATCACTAATATTGTAGAATTGTTTAATTTATGATTATTAATTTTATTTATTAATTTATAAGTGATAACTATTAATTTTTGTTGTTATAATTGGATGCAATTTTTCTAAATATTTTTGCATGTAAAATTTAACCTTGTTTTTGAATTAAATAAATAAATTAGTACTGAGATTAAATACCCCGTTACTTGTAAAAATGGTCTCCATTTTTATCACTCACCATTGGGAAGAAACGCACATCAGCAGCAATATTTTCCTATTTAACACTGATATTCATTGCATGTGCTATTCTTTCCTGATCGAGTCGACACAATTATGCTGTAGTCAGTATACGATTGCACTTATTACCTTTTATTCCAAATTTAAAATAATTTTTCTTATCCGGTCGCTTCGTGGCTTCCCGGCTTATTCATGCCGGCTGGTTGATGTCAACTTTACTATATACAACGGACATTGAAGTGCAATAAAATTTTATTTGTTTTAAATTAAACAACAAGTCCATATCTACAGTTCATAAAATAAGTTTTAAAACAGACTTTATAGAGTTACATAAAACGTATAAAATAAAGTAGAATTCTAAACTGCAGACAAAATTCCAAAACATGAAATGTTCCACTACCCTTCAATGATACAAAATAAGATGAAATTCAATCCAACGCAAATTCTACAATCCGTATTCTTTACTTTTACTTCAAAACCCTCAAGAATTGAGTAGTGCAAGGTGAAATACGTTCAAAGTTTTCAGTCGTATATAAAATTCTCAAGTTTGATAAAAATGGACATAAAGATTTTATAAGTTTGTATGTTGGTTGGAATGTTTGCAATTTTTTCGGAAACTGCTCGTTCAATTTTTATGAATTTTTATATATGGTAAAGTTTTAGTATATAAAATAATATTTCAAGATATTCGGTTCATCATTCAAATGAAAAATGTTAAGATCAACACTAAGTAACGATGTGTTAAAGGCAACAGTAAGCCGTTGTAGCTAATGTAATCGTCGAATTAACCTCATTTTAAGACGAAATAGGTATCGTGTTAACAACGAATCTGTTTTCCTTTGTTCGGTTTATAGCGAAATGTGTTCTAAAAAGTAAAATGTGTTCAAAATTCTGTGTTATATAAAAATCAAAAAAAGAATAATGATTTAAAAGTTCGTATGCTTGTATTGTCTCTACGTCAGGTGTAAGTCCCAATTCGTCATGGTCATCATTACAGCCCATCAGAAGTCTACTGCTAAACAGAGGCCTCCCCCAAGGAATGCGACAAAGCACGGTGCTATGCCAACTGTATCCATCGACTTTTTTAATAAGATAGGGTGACAGACGAGCACATAGTCCACCTGATGGTAAGTGGTTGCTGTGGCCCATAGACATCTACATCTATCTTCGATTACGAATCAAAATGCCGATGCGTTATCAACGGTGAGGACTAAGATGGAATGCCTCGTTTCCAGTAAAATGGGTCTCCGGTTCTCTACTCTCACCATACGAAATACAGCAGCATTAAGCTAATATTTCACTCTGGTATTCTGTGAGAGTGTGGTCCTTCCCCGGTCCAGCCGACCCATTCGTGCTACAACTATACATCTAATACAGCTGCAGCATGGCTCTACCACGTATAAATACTTCCTGTATGTCTTACCAGGTCGTCACTCCATCTAGTGAGGGGTCGCTCTACACTACGTTTACGGGTACGAGGCTGTCATTAGAGAACCTTTTTTCCGGTCGGTTGTCAGTTCTCCGAGCTATAAAGCTGGCCCATTGCCACTTCATCTTACTAATCCGTTGGGCCATGCCGTTCACTCTGGTTCTACAGCGGATATCCTTATTTCTAAGTTTATCACACAGTCATACTAAATATTTATGTTTTTTTTTAATATGCGGCGCTCTATTTCAAAGTCGCGCATTCATGTAATACACGATTCTGTACAACATGTTCTATATTTGCACGGAAATATTAGACTTTTAGTGAAAAGTATGAGTGTTTGTACGGTGTGTTATATGTTAAAGTTTTTAAAATGTTTTTAGAAGATATTCAGTTTTATTATGTAATGATATGGTAAGATTTTTGTGTATACTATTAGTTTGTTCCGTTTTTTTTTTATAAGATAGGATGACAAACGAGCACACAGTCCATCTGATGGTAAGTGGTTGCTGTGGTTCATAGACATCTACATTTATCCTCGATTACGAATCAAAATGCAGATGCGTTGTCATCCGTGAGGACTTGCGTGGAATACCTCGTTTTAAGTAAAAAGGGTCTCTGGTTTTCTACACCCACCATACGGAAGACAGCAGCATTAAGCTACTATTTGACGCTGGTATTCTGAGAGAGCGTGGTCCTTCCCCGGTCGAGCCGACCCATTCGTGCTACAACTATATTACTAATATAACTGTAGCATGGCTCAACCACGTGTAATATGTTGTGAATATACGTTAATATGTATGTAATACGTTGAGGTTTTTCAAATGTTTTTATTAGATATTAACTTTTATTATGTTATGATATGGTAAATAATGACGTCTAGAAAAAATCTACATCTACTATGTTGTTAACAATTTAATTGTAAAAAGGTAATCTCTGAAAATTCTGTGACCAAATAGAAAGACACATTATTCCCAAGTGTCGTAGGCTATGTCATAAAAAATTGACAAAAATTCACATTGTATGCGGGAAAAGTACGTTAGTACTAAAACTGTTTAGGTCTTAAAATTAGTCACTATAATTTTGAAAGTATATTTTTATTTTTCACTATTACAAATAAACACAAATATCATACAATATTATTATATTTATACTATTTGGCGTTAAAAACTTAGCTTGCTACTAGGTCGCGTGACTCTACTAGAAAGTTGTTTCTCTGTTTCAAATTTTCCACGGTGTGGTAGTTCTCCCAAAATTTCCCTAAACATGACGAGGCTTGGCACAATTTGCACATAACTGTGACCAGGAATCGTTTTTTCAAAACAGTGCATCGAACACAACGCAATTGATTTTGCTTCTTCTTTTCCAGCCTTGAATCAGATTCCGTATAAATAGGAAAGTAATTCCTCGGTTCTAAGACGAAGAGGAAGCCGTTGCAGTTGGTTCGGTACTCTGGGTGGCACCGACGAACCTTCGGCAACTTTCAGTCTTAACTGGCGGTTGGATTACATGTGATACAGGGATTTCGCAAATAAAAAATGAAATTGTTTAAAACACTGGTGTTTAACAGTCTTCTGTCCAATTTTATTTACCATTTTTGGTTGCGTTTACGCTCTAACAGGAACAAAGACAACTTTTTGTCCTTCAAATCTACGCCTCCCATGTATCAGTTGTAGTCCTTAACCACTATTGGCTGCCTGGACTACTGTTATGACCGCCTGTCCAACACGATTTCCCAGTACCATCTCATGTTGGTGGTAGGTGGACATAACAGTGACATGTTTGACATCTTTCCACTCCACCAACGCGTTTTTACCGTAATGTCAACCTACAGACACCCCACGCTTCACCTGCTTCGGTATCAAACCCTTTATAGCCTGTGGTATCACGTTCGCCAGCTGTTTATCATGCTCGATACGTCTGTACACCAGCTTTCAAGGTAACTCGTTAAGGGCAATTGGTCGTACAAATTTCCTATAACAAAACATGCTCTACATACCTGGATAAGTACCTCTCCATGAGCTATAAAACCTTTGCGGTTTTGTCATTAAACCATATAAGGGTCCAGGACACATGGCAGTACTTTTACACGTGTACAGCTGATATTGGAATAAGTAGCCGGTTTAAGCCTCACGGAGCTCATAAGATTTGATTCCGAAGCGAGCAGCTTTGGTCCGTATACACTGCCTCCATCTTAAACGACCCTTCCATAAAAGCAAGGACTCGTCTAAGCTGAGGTGCTAAGACGGTGTATATATTTCCGCAAACTTTCGGTTGCAGTGGTCCACTACCGGCGCAACTTTTTCCACTTTGCGTGTATACCCTCTACTTACCAAATTTTCATTATTCACAAAGTGAAAAAATTTGGTAAATATCAGGAATCTTGTCCATGCAATAATGGCATGCCCAAGATTTCTTGTTGAAGTATTCGTAAATTTTAGTTATTTCAGTCATTCACTCAGTCTTCTTCATTTTTGTCATTTTCACACTCTACGTCACTTCTCCTATCAATTTTATCACACATTACTAAATCTTCATCATCATCTTCAAACATACTTTCCTGACCCTGGACATACACGTCTCGGAGATTGCGGGCTGCTTGGGCAAAGATGCGTAAAATTTGGAATGTCATTGCCATCTTCGTTGTCATCGTTTTCGTGTTCGCTGCTAGAATCGTGGAGAATTTCCATAATTTCCCTAAGGTCCAGGACGTGAAGGCTCCTATTTTTCCGTCCATCTTTTTGTGAAGTACTTATACGAATGCGTCCGAATGATATCGCTCGGTACAGCAAGGGATCGCCTTGTATGCGTACCATGCCTACTGGCGTTATCACGCAGGCATAGCACGGCAACTGGAGAACTTCCTATGTCCCGTGGCTTGGCCTGTTAGCGGCATCCTAATGCTGGCGTTTTGACATGATTCTAATAATAATAATAAAAACACGTATTATATGCAAGTTTCATCAAAATCGATTTAGTAGTCTAGTGCAGCTGAGCAAAAATTTTTGGTCTTGAAGATTCCCATCTGATTATGTAATAATATTAAAAAAAATTATATTTAAAAGCTATTTATATTTCAAATGGTTTCTGCGAGATGAATATTATTTTACGAAATATTCGGAATTCTTAGTTTTGAAATATTTAACTCTTTCTAATTCTATCGTTTTATATCGCTTCATATACTTTAAAAATGGATGACGAAAAATAAAAATAAACTAATAGAACAAATTTTTCTCGGTTGTTTTATAACATCACTTACAAAAAAATATGAACAAAACAATAAAGGAATAATAGCCTTTATCAATAAAGCACTCGATAGCTATTATCGAACGCACGCACACCACATGCATGGTAATTGCGTATGTGTAAGTGTTGAATTTGATCTCTCGTGAAGTTATTGAAGAAAATAATAAAAAAATATATATTATCAAAAACTACTAATAGTTATAAATTCTACTTGATTTTTCCCACAAGAAAAAGTATTTGCTATGGTATTTGAATACAATTTTTGTCTTAATTTAAATCTTGGCCGTTATAAATTGTTCGCGTAAAAGTTTTTTGTTTTTACTTTTTTATCAATTGAAACACAAAAAAGACTGTTGTTGCAACTTAGATCATTCAAAAACATTATCAAGTAAAGATAATAATTAACATTAATTACCGTATTTTGAAAGAAAATCTAACTAAGGTAACAAACACAAAAGAAAACAATTACGCAACGAACACCATCAACAACGCGAAAGTGAATCTATTATTTTTGATTTTGTCTATGTAACCGGGCGAGTATAATCATTTTCATCTTCATTGTCACTGGTAAATACTCTTTATTTCGTTGAGAATCGAATAAAATAGTTTCTAACTGAACATATACTGTCTTTTTATAAATTTAATTAAGACGAAAATAACAGCGCGGTATAGCTACATGAATATACGCCTTTTATACTCAACGGTCACGTAATGGATGAGTGAATTCGTGCCCGTGGTACTGGTACTAATTACAACTTGGTTTTAAGGATTTTATTTTGTACATAAACTCATTTTAAATTCCCGATGTTTCGAGTACTTTACAGCGCCTATGATCACAGGAGGAACATGGGTGTTTGACGTCCTAATGTCATAGTTTACCACGGCTGCTTTTAGTTTAAAATTATTATTTTTTAATTTCTTTTATGGTCCAATCCACGCAGTATGAGCTTATAGATTCTTGAAGTCTTGCAGTCGTATGCTTCGATTGAAATTTAATTCAGTTAAATTTATAGTAATAATTTTATAGGATCCCAAGCAGATGATAATACCCAACCATCTTCTCTATTGAAATTAGGATGTTTTTTTTTATTTCAATAACCTCGCGAATCATCCTCGTCGGAATCGGTGTTTTCTCTCCTATATACCTCTTAAATATTTTCAATAAAAACTAGCGGTGAATTTACCATCATGGTCCGATTGAAACAAACCAAGTAGAATTACAGGTTATGAGGTATTTGTTCCCATTTTAACGGAATCACAACAAATCTGTTTCAACCTTTTCCGTTTACAGTTAGTTGCAGATATCGGAGGACCACCATAGTCAATATTTCATCAGGTTGGTTATTGGTTAGTAGTTAGTAGTTAGTAAGTGTAGTACGAAATCAGAAGTGGCAGCACAACATCATGACTAAAATCGAAAATATGTTGGTACCTGTCTGTGTCTGTCTGTGATATTAAACACATACAGACAGGTTCAATCAAATTAAAATTCACAAACAGAAGGTACTCTGGGTTAACTCTGACATCGCGCCATCTATCACATCAGTTTTAATTTTGTTTAGTTTAGCCGCCGAGTATTAAAATTAAGTAAATTAAACGCGATAAAATCCGCAAAAGTAGTTTTATTCAATGTGTAAGGCAAATTGTAAAAAGACGCGAAATTTGAATTTCTACTAGTCCTTGTATGGAAAATTAATCTTCGATAGAGATTAGATGAGTTTGTTACTTCCAGACTGTCTTGAAGTAATAACTTCAATATTAATCATTCGTAACAAACACCTATCCTACTGTATGGCAGCAAGCCCTTATTAAACAAATATCAAAAGTTGACAATCATGTTTATTTGTCTGACCTTTGGCCCATCAGCATCTTAACTTGCTTATCTAAAATAATAGAGAAAGTAGCATGTAAACAATTAACTCAATATTTTGAGACCAATCGCCCAAACTGCCAAGGCTGCAATCAGGTTTCAGAAAACAGTTAATTTTACACATGTGTTTTGGAAAGTGGTGGCATATTCCCGTGACATAACGTTTAAAATATTCTTCGTTTTCGTCCTCAAATGTTGAGCTTATTTATAACACAAAATAGAAAATAGCTTCTTTAGATAAATATTATTAATTCATATGTGTTTAACAATCCTGTCACATACTTTGTTAGTGACAAAGTTCAGGGAAATTTTAAGAAGCAAAGAAAGATTTACGTTAAAGTTTTTGTCACGTACTTTGACTAACGCCGGTGAAATACTAGTATCTGATGTAATAAAACGGGGTGACTTGTTTATATTGTACCATTATTTTATTATGCTGTTTATTTTCTTTATTACTGCATTTCTGTAATGAAGTATTAAGATGATGCTGCCCATCTCCTGTTTTAATTTCTCTGTCTCACCTTACGAACCTATGTGATGATATAGAGTACATAATCATTATCCTACGTCACTACTACACATTTGTTTTATTTCCGTTTTATCTGATGTGAAATTCGTTATTTTCTATATTAAAGACTAACCACCAGCCATGGTTTCGCTCCGCTTACATGTAAATAACGCCAAATTAATGGATTCCACTATTAATTAATAAGGCGTTATTTAGATTTAAGATACTAAAATACCGCATTTTTTTCCTAAATTTCCTAAATATTGTCCTTCGCACGACTACTTTGTGGAATCGTTTATTACCGGCGATTTTTTGGACCGATACGACTTACGGATCTTTAAAAATCTAGCTTACTCCTTTTTAAAGACCGGCAACGCACCTGCAACACTTACCATCTGGTAAGCCACATGCTCGTTTGCCCCCTCTTCTTTAAATAAAGGAGCATCTAAATGCTAGCTAATCATATAAAATATATCTTAGATCCCTCATAGCATTTCTGTAAAGTTGTAGTAAAGTTTAGTATTAGCACCTACAGAAGGACAGACAAAAAATTTTGACAAATGTTTTAAGGCCATTCATTAACCCAAAAGCAAGTTATTTCAATACCACAGACAGACACTTCAATTTTATTTGAATAAATAAAATATACGTGAGAAAAAAATTTTGTCAGGATTCATGTGCAAAAATAAAACATTGCGTGTTTAACCGCATTGCGGTTAGCTGTCGCAGAGTTTATTTATCTTTATGATGCCTCGTTTAAAGGCGACACACTTGTTACATTATATCGACGTATGAATGTATATTTCTTACTTTAGAGCTTATAGTGGCGTTTAGTGTAGTTTTATATGTAATTGATATTTTATAATTATTTGTTAGCATAGAATGTAAGTGTTACAAAAACTATTACTAAAATATATATGTTTCCTTACGTTGTGCCTAACTCAAATATATAAATATTAAAACAATTTCCTGACACTACACCTGTTTGTCTGCGCTACTTTTAACACTTTCACTGTTTTCTTTGCAGACACAATAGTAAGATAATAAAATTAATACCCATAGGTAGGTTACAGTACAGTAAAGTAAAGACTTTGTAAGTGATGATGATTTTTTAATTATAAATTCAGTATCGAATACTGTGTTTTTCTTATATTAGATTATATAGGATGTTATGAAAACTGGAGTGAATAAATGATTTAATATATTTCTTTATTTAAGCACAATATTCAGTAAGTATGATTAAGCAATACCACAACGTCTGCAGTTCAGAAATACTTTTTCTTTAACTTTGTATTATGGAACGATAAAACGACTTAGAATCTTGAACCCACACAGACTGACGCGCATTTCTTAAAGAGCCTCGGTACGGTGCATCTTTATTTGTGGTCAAGAGCCCTCTGTAGTATTGATCGCAATAACACGAAACGTTAGAATTAGAAACTAGAACTTGTGACTGTATGAATTAAAAATAATAATAATACATACAAAAGTCAATACAATGACGTCTTTAATACACAGAAATATATAAAATAATAAATATTTCGTTACAATAAAAAGACTTACTACTTGTAACCTGGAAATGTCGAATGTTTATTATAGCCATTGAATTATTTTAATTATAGTTATTGAATTACAATTTTGTTTTTACATGCAGTGGTGATGTACTATAGTTGTAATACGTGACATATTTCATCCTGTGTATACCGTAAGCAGCTACTATAAGAATGCCTGAGAAATTTTAGGGATTCTGTTAGATAGTGGTGTAACTACTTTGTTTGTTTACACTGGATCTAAATTACGCAGACTATCGACGAGTAGCAGCGACAGAAATGCGAAACATATTCGATAGCCCTCTTAAGGCAAATTCTTTCTTCAATCCACCTCCTGGGAGAAGTGGACTTTAACAGGCTGGAGTTGAATAAGACTCTCCTTTGATGTCACAGGGATATAAGATATCGGATTTTTTATAGACAGTGTGACAAATAAGCACATCGTTCACCTGATGGTAAGTTAATACAGTAGCCGATAAATAACTCTACATTTATATTCAATTAAGAATGAAAACAAAACTTGTTATCTCCCCTGAGGACTAAAATAGAATGCCACTTTTTCA